GTATTTCACCATTTGCGAACTAGTTTGTGTTCAGGTAGAATATAAGATTGATGGGAACTCTTGGAGTGCACCTATCTGATGAGTCCCAAGAAGGGCGGAACGGGTGGTGGACCGTCAAAGAAATTTCAGCAATGTGAGACGGCTCTTGGGCAGCACAAACGCTCGTGGAATATAACAAACCAGAGATTCAACTGGACCTCTCGTTAACACTAGTAATATTTGAAAAAGAAATGTGCTTCTCTCCTATTCGAGGTCGCAAAAATTGTGCATTTCCGCAGTCTACTTATCTTACGTTTGCCAAGGTTTATTCAACTTTTTCCATCCGAGCTAAGAAGGGCAGTTTGAAAAGCGTGTCTGTGTGTGCGTGCGTCTGTCAACTTCAAACTTCATGAGGAAGCGTGTCTGAGATGGCGTAAACACAGCCAACCAATCATTCTCATGATAAGTTCATGGACCACCTATTCACACGTACGCGAAAAAACCGTCCCTGATGTGAGTCATAGATACGCCCGTCCCTTAACACAACTAGGGCAAGCCGTATCGATCGATTTTTCGATCAATACGGCTTCCCTATTGTTTGACTGGTGGATCTGAACGTAATAATGCTGACGGTAGGTGAAGCTGAGTTTAATCTCTTCCGGTAGCTACACGACTGTTAATTTCACAGTGTGACTAATTCCATTCGAACGACAGCATTTTCCTCACGGTGTATGTTGATAGGTGGGAATAAACTCTAACGATCGACACCGTATACTGCTCAGTTGAGAAAAAACAAGGCTAGCTTAGCCCATTACTTTTGAAGATTAGTTGGATTACTTAGAATATGCAGAATAGCCTATTTGAGTCAAAGTTTCTAAATTTCCACGTTAGAGATCCTGGGGAAAACTAAACCTGATCTCGCTTAAATGGGCAGAAACACCCAGGCTTTCACCCAAGTTAACGTGTCTTATTATACTTATTCTTTTACTCGAAGGACACAGGTGGGCTGGTAAGTGATGTCCAAATTAGTTTAGGTGAACAGCGGTCAGAGGGAACAGTAGCTAGTGGGAGTATGATGCTTTTGGATTGCGGTTTCAGTCCTCTAGGTTCAATGAAACTAGCGGATTTAAAGGTCGAGTGCTTGTCTACCAATATACCACTAGAATCGCCCAAAGAGTGTAAAGCGAGCTTGCTGGTGTTGGTAAACAGTCACTTTATTCTTTACGGAAGTGGTCACAGAAAGTTACTTCCATTATCTTTGTAAGCTCTTGACTCCGGGTTGTTCAGAATGCTAAGGCGGGTCATCGTCTCAGTACCAAGTTGAAAAACTCGGTAAGCCTGCCTGGCACATCACCGAGTGCACCTGTTGGGATGACGGTCAAGAGGCGAAGGTTGCTGGAAGCTACTAAACTGGGAAACCGACCACAGGTGTCAGGTGACAGCCCATTCTGGGTATATCTCGGTGGCAAATTAAACTAAGATGCTCCGTAAACATCGACCTCGCACTTCCTTGCAACACCGGTCTGAGGGATTACCGTCTACCCCCTTCTCTTCCTGAAAGTTGGAATTCCAAGGAACTGACGAGTTCCACATCTGGACATCGTGTGTGTTGTAGATATCAATGTCTGATCAAAAGAGAGGTAAACACAGGCAAAAAGTAGCAACCCAAACAAGGGACTTGGTATGGTTTTGGGGTTTTTGGTATCCTGTACACGAGTCAAAGCCTTCAGTCACCCATGGAAGCAAACACATACATACATATCCGTTCTTTCTTACCCGGTCGGCTGATGAGACTTCCCCACTCGGCTCCTTCTTGGGGTTATCAAGCTGCTTCCGGGCCTAACTGCCGTTCACTTTTACCCTAGAGTTCAGACGTCATCTCGGAGACTGACAATTACGGCAACACCAAACCCCTAAAGCAAATGGTTTAAATCATCTCTTCCGGGGTGCTGGTGGTCATTCCAGTTGAATAATGCCCTACCTTGAATGCAAGCTCTTTCGTGCTCCTGAAAAACTGGAAGTTACTCCACAAACACACGACAGTAGCGTTTGGAAGGGGGCACTGAATACCGCAATAGACGATGTGTTTAGTGACCAGAATAACTTCTAGTCAGACAATGCTGTCATCGACGGGGTCGGAACAAGGAACACTTGTTCACGCGACGCTGACAACTAACTGAAGGTTTGACGCGATGGTTTTTAACCATATAAGGCCGTGTGTCTACTTCATTCTGTTCCAAGGTTACAGGTTCCACCAATTCCTGATTGCAAACCGCCAGGAAATTATCGCAAGATGAACGTTTATGACTGAAATCAGCTTTAGCTGGATTCGAGAATATACAATCAGTCGGTTTCTTCCGTAGTCCGAACGGAATCCTTTGATTCCAGTGGAGAAAGCGAATCAAGACAGTCGATTCCTTTAAGCAGCAAACGCGTCTTGAGCCTGAGAGCAGTACAGTATGAAGTCAGATCTGTTGATTAGACTAACTGAAAGGAACGGCTAACCTCACTTCCAAAAACACCTTGTCTACGCTCAGCTGAAGGCAACATCCGAAGCTCCGCTTTTGTAGCGGATAAGTCTGAAAAACTGTAAATTGAATTTGGGTCATGGGAGGACCTGGCACTCCATAGGAAGTTCGGAAGAACCGCTATCTAAGAAGATGGCAAAAACTTTGAGACATGCTGCGTAGCAGTGATGCAAAAATGGGTGGTGATACAGTCTCAGTCTCAGGTGGAATCGCGCCTGAGTAGGATCAGCCTTGTGATTTACCAGCATACTAAATGTCTTATCTGTTAAACGTGAAAATTCTCGAACCGATGTAGTTCTTTTCTCATTTTCTGGAAATACGTGTCCAGACCTCATGAACCCTTTGATCAATAACCATTACCACTTCTACGATGCACATTAGTCGGCGAAAATAAAAACAGTCGGGACCGGTACCCGCTCTTCATGGCACGATGTTTAGACTGTCCGATGGCTTGCAACTGCTTTATTTTAAGCAAACAAGTCAAGGATTCGTCCACTGAGTTAAAGTAATTGTGCAGTGAATTCCTTTAGTGTATTCGCTGCCAACCTCTCATTGCCGTCGGACTGATGCAACGGTTCGTCCTAGGAAGCCTGGAAGCATGGTCCAGCTGTGTCAGCTTTTCGGTGCCTAGCTGCTTCCCGAGAGAAGCAGGAGGGCCGAGATGCCGCCGGAATGCCCAAGCCTAGACAGGAGCAGTCCAAGTGCACAGATCGGATTCAGACCATCCTTCGCACTTTAACCAATGAGCAATCTGGAGTTCTACCCTGGGTGCCAGTACAGTATCCACTTGTAGGTAGGGCGGAAAACTTGACGTAGTCAAAACTGAACCCAGTGTGTCAGTCTGATCCCCAACAAACACACAAGTTGTGAGAATCAAACGGTTGAAGTGGAATCTGCCCACCAAACAGTCTCTCATACTCATTGTCAATCAACTGTGATAGGCTTGCAGCTAATGGGTTCAAACGTAGCACTGGCATGCTGTGACGACTTTTAAACAGATGACCCACCTCTAATCCGGTCAAACTGGTCATAGTAACAGAAGCTACATGTTTCTTGTGTTTCCATGATGACGGATTGTCGTGACCGCGTGGACAACGTGACAGCTCAATCCATTCAGGTCACTGAGCGGTCAACAAGTGCACCGTAGTCAGCGGCTCAGTTACCTTTAAGGTGAGCGAGCGAGCATTTCCAAGACTTACCAGGTCATTTACTGTGTGTGTGTGTGTTGAAAAGAAGTTGGGGTCATGATACATGCTGTCCACTAATCACAGGCACGTGGCTTTCTTATACACCCTTGGACAGTGAACTCAACAAGTTATTCCGCTTAATCACCCTCAGAGACACCCTGAGCCAACCTGTCTACCACAGTACCATGTCTCTTATTCCGTTGTTAACTTATTGTTTAAAACCAAAGAGCATTTTGCTCTGTTAGAAACAATCTAACAGATTGGAATCTCTTCATAAAGGAAACTACTCACAAGGTTGCTGAAAACTCCTCGACAGCCCATGACCGGTTTCGCCCTTCCAGTTCAGGCTCATCAGGTAGGCGCAGTTCCCGAGTTTCCGTCAAACTTATGTTCAACTTGAACCCAAATTGGACTGTGTTCGAGAAATACACTCATTTGCAAACCAATTTGGTTTTCACAAGAGACTCAACTAAATCTCTCGTTTATGATATTCCTTAATGAAAATACACTGCGATATCTCGAATATTGTGTCAACTGAAACATGAGGCGGCCTGTGTGCAGCACATTCAGTTGTAGAATATCATAAACGCGAGATTCAGTTGAGTCTCTCATGAAAACCAAATTGATTTGTAAATGAGTGTATTTCTCGAAGATTGGAATCTCCTTCGGACAACTTTTAGACAGCTTCATGGCATTCTGTTGTGCAACTAATGGTCTGACAGATCGTTTTTGACGAGAATGGGGAAGCTACCGCCTGCTTGGAGCACTTAACAACCTGAAACATAGGAATGCTAGCTCATTTCATCATTCCGTGTCTGTTCTGGTTCGCGGGTAGAGGAGATGTAAACACATGGTTTGTGCAAGAGCCAGTGGAAAAGCTGGCCTAAATTTTTCATTAACCGAAACGTGTTGCCCATATCCTTCGTGATGGTAGATGTGAACTTTCTCGATACAAAAACGCTATTCAATATAGACCCCATCATATACAGTGCATTGTTGCCCAGACTAAACCATACTAGCGAGGTCCCATTAAAAAAAGTCAACTGAGGTTCTTCAAGCTATATCATCCAGCTAATGCCTCGATGATGGCACCAAACAACTGTCTTTATTAGACCGAACGGGCAGAAATCAGAGATCTCTGTCTGCTTGATGGGTGGACGAACAGCCCCAAGCCTGACACGTTGCTGAAGTCCTTTTCAGATCACTCTTCCATCCACTCATTGAAGTGGATCTCCTAAGTTTCTGAATTCCCTCAGTGCATCGCTGGTTCATCCCGACACGGTCGATCTTCGGAAAATCAGAGAGGATGACAGAACTGTCAACGCAACATCCTGTGATCGATATATCACAGCAGTGGTCGTTGGCTTGTTCGCTGAGGTGGGCAATTCGATTGCAAACGTTTCATCACCAATCGAGGTGACATCATCAGTGCGTTATTGGGGAGCGTAGTTGTGCGTAGCGGTGGGTTAGTGGTTGTGCTTTGAGTAGTGTTGCGTGTGTGTTGATATACGTGCTGGTAGCCGGGGATGACCTTTGACCGCGATTAGTCTATGCAAACTGTTAGACTTTTGCATGGATACATAGTTTACCTTCGATGGACAAACATATCAACAGCTCAAAGG